TACATAATTAAATCATATTCAATTCATACAAACATATGCAAATCGTTTGTGTAATATATATTAATCTTTTTTCTTGAAAACAATTTCTTAAATAAAAACAAGATATATTTGATATTTTACTATGTAGATAATGCAATTGATTAAGTTATACATATAAAACTTGAGCTTCACACCAAATAATAACAATAACTCTATATATATATTTATTTATTTTAGAAGGCATTCAATCATATTAAATATGTGCATTGCAAATTGAAAAAAAAAATCATAATTATCAATTTGTCAAAGTATATATATTCTAAAATAAATAATCGTAAAAGTGAGTTAATCAATTTTAAAGTCAGCCAAACAAATTATTAAATGTTTATGAATTATATATTTTTGAGTTTCAGTTATAGTTAGGTAATATTTGGGAATAAGCTTTTTTAGAGAGCAGAAGAAATACGACGAAGAATAAGAGTTGTGTCTGTTATCAAGTAGAGTTCAAAAACTTGGAATGAGATTAATTAACTGATATAAATGGGAATAATTATTGTAATTGTAACTGTGTTAGATTTAAATTGTCTATCTACAATTATACAGATTCAAATAATATCATTTTCATTCTAATACTAAATTGAACAAAATCAATTATTTTGATATAGTAAATGTTATTTTGAATCCAAAAGGCCAATTTAAGTTTCAGGATTTATATTAGTTATTATATTAAATACTCTTTATTTATCTCGCATGTGATTTGATAGATTGAGAATATTTTTTTATCTCGCGCCACCTAGTAAACTATATTAGTTAGACATTACAAAAAAAAAAATATAGTAGTCAAATATTTTTTTCTGTTTTGCCATTTTTAAGATCTACATTTTTCGATTGATGTTTCATTTTCGGATAAAGAAATCATTTTCGATTTGTTAGCCTGTTAGGTACTATTTTGTTTTTTGACCGGGTAGTTTCCTTTCTATAGCATAACCTATATAATTAGTCAAACTTTATTTTTTATGTCATCTTCCAAAATTAAATTACATACTATATTCGATTTATGCGTGTCATTCTTTACGCAAAGACCATATTCGATTTGTTAGGTATTTGTTTTTTTTTTTTGACCGGTTGGTATTCTTTCTATCATAAGCTATATTAGTCAACCTTTTCTTTTCTCTTGTGCACCTTTAAAATTTTATACTATTTTTTATTTATTTATGCGTGACATTCTTTCGCAAAGCCAATTTTAATCTAATAGGTACAATTTGTTTTTTAACTTATTGTATTATTTTCATAGCATAAACTAGTAGTTAAACTTTTCTTTTCTTTTTTCACTTTTAAAACTTTTTACCGGTTTTCGATTTATGTTGCATATTGACCATTCCGGTTTGTTGGGTACTTTTTTCTTACCCGTTAATATCGTTTTGATAGCATAAACTATAGTAGACAAAAGTTTCTTTTCTTTTTTGTCATCTTCAAATTTTATACTCTTTTTCGATTTATGCTTATCATTCTTAAGAAGAGACAATTTTTTAGTTAGTTAAACTTTTTATTAGAATGAAAATATATGCTTTATTAAAAGAAAATGTACTTTAATTACATATTTGGCGAAGTTATTGTAGTTTAAATTTTTATCTCATAAGTAAAGAGAAATTCAGAATTAAGAATCTGTTTTTGTATAAGCTAAAGTATGTTTTTAAAAATAATTATATTGTACTAACAATTACTATCTTGCATGAAAATGAGTCAACACGTTTAAATGTGCCCTTTCCAAAAACATTGTAAAGTGTTGACTGATTTTCATGCAACAACATAATTTATGTTGTTACTACAATATGTTCAGCTATAAAAACCCTCTCTTGCATTCACCAAAAACCATATACCTTAAACTAAAACAGAAACACATTCTTCATTCTTAATTTCTCTGTAATTACAATATTCTGTATCCTTGCCAAAATGAGAGAAAAGAAAACGAGAGGGAAACAAAAGATTAACATAAAAAAAGTAGAAAAAGACGAAGACAGAATGGTCACATTCTCCAAGCGTAGATCTGGAATCTACACTAAGCTCAGTGAGATCTCCATTCTCTGCGGTGCCGACGTCGGATTTCTTGTGTATTCCGGCGCCGGGAAACCGTACACGTTCGGTAGCCCATCCTTTCAGGCTGTGGCAGAGCGGTTTCTCAACGGAAATCACCCAGAAATGATTAACAGCGAGAGACGCTTGTCGTCTTCGTCATTGATCGTGGAGGCTCATAGGAAAATGAAGTTGGACGAGCTCTGCAAAAAGTACAACAGTGTGATGGAGGAGTCAAGTGCGGAAGAGGAGAGAGGGAAGAAGTCGGCGGCCATGGCGCATTCCTTGCCGGTGGAAAGTGATGCATGGTGGAAAGCTGATCCGAAGGAAGACGAAGATGCGAAACAGTTGTTGCTCACATATGAGCATCTCTATGACAAACTGTGTGATCTTGCTTGTGGAAGAAGCCATGGAGGCGATGCGTCAACATCGTTAGCCGGAATTAATCGCCATTTTAATTAGGATTTATGTTTTGTATGTTATAATTGTTTTGATTGTAACTTGTAAGCCCACATATAATTATACCGATTAATTAATATTTTATATTTTAATGTAACTTGTAAGCCAGATAATTATACATTTTTAAAATTTTAAATTCTAATTTGAGTTTTTTTTTAAAACAACCACCGAAGGTCAGCCCTAAATCTTTATATTTATAAATCAGAAGCCACTAGTGGCGGACCTAGAAAAATATTTTAGCTGGGTCAAAACTCAAATAAAATAAATAGTAGGTGTTAGTGGAGACGTGGAAATTCGAACTGGTGTTTAGGGGGGGTCAATATGAAGGATTTTACCAATTAGGCTATTGGATTTTTGTGATTTTGGCTTACAAATTAACATATAATCTTATTTTAGTGGTGTCAAGTGAATCAGTATCTATTCATGTGGGTCCGCCTCTGATCAGAAGCGAGATGAGTCCAATGACATGTGTCCTTTTTGATTTTTGAATAAAATATATATATTTTTTTAATTTAACACAAGGGTTTTGTGAAAAAAAAATCACAAACTAAATTATTTGCAAGAAAAACCCTCACCTCAAAAAAATACAAGTCAATCCATCTACCTCAAAAGTCACCCGCAATGTAGTTTCTCGCTATGACGTGACATTACCAGATGTCTTTCAAAAAAAAGATTTTGTGCAAAAAAATAACCTTAAACTAAATTATTTTGCAAGAATAACCCTCACGTCAAATAAATATAAGCCAATCCACATATATCAAAAGTCACCTCAATAAAATCTGTTTGAACAAGTTTGTGAATTCAAATTTAATCGTTTTCTCCAAAACGAAATAGTTCGGAATGAATTTTACCAAAAAAAGCTAAGAATAAGAGTACTCTATTTGAGTCGGGATCAAACTGTTTTTTTAAGTCTCGGTTAGAAGTCAGTTCATATTTTTCGGGTTTCGGGTTTTTCGGGTTTGAGATTTAAAAACTGTTCGGGTTTTTAAAAAATTTCAGTTTGGGTTCAATTCAGGTTTTTTGGATCGGGTTTGGATTCAGATTTTGGGTAAAACTCCCTGGCCTAAATGTAGTTATGATCTTTTCACTTTATTTATTTAATCAACAAATTTTTTAAGTTGCATTCATCAAAATATATGGTCTTGGACCATAAATAATGAATTTTCTTTTGAGTTCGGTTACTTTATGGATCCACTAAACCATTAAATTAAAATTTTGAAAACAGTACATAGTTATAAGGGCTTTTTTGCAAAATAATTTAGAATTTTTAAAAGAGTACATAATCTTGAAAACAATACAAATTGAAAACGATACGATTTTCTCAACATAAGAAAACGCAATGTTTTGATATGAGGGCTTTTTGGCAAAATAATTTAGTTTGAGGTTTTTCTGCACAAAATCTTTTTTTAAAGATATTTGGCAATGCCACGTCATCGATGTAGGGGTTATATTGCGGGTAACTTTTAAAGTGGGTGGATTGACTTGCACTTTATTGAGGTGAGAATTTTTTTGCAAAAATAATTTAGTTTGAGGTTTTTTTTTGCACAAAACCCTTAAATTATATATGAGAAATGTGTTGGTCTTTTTCATAATAAGCACAATCAGTACAAGATAACTCATATACACAATATAGATGTTTACTAAAATTTATGTAAAAGGCAAAGTTTGGCCCAAAATAAAAATATACCAAGAAATGATTACTTACGAAAAATGAGTTATAATCATACGACTTACTGATTGAGGTTATACTCATAGTAATCCCCAAAAATGGTATTTATGATTGGAATGAATGTATCTCTTAAAGAAGATGGTTCCAAGGGGGAAATATGGTGATGTGTGGTTGTACATTTTTTTCCTTATCATAGTTTTTATTCTATTGAGTTTTTCATAAAAGGTTTTAACGATCAACAAATAACACATACATGAGAAACATCTAAAAACTGTTTACAGATGAAAGTATATCTACTTTTCAAAGTCCTTGTCATCCATTTATGAGATCAAGTGAAACAAAGAGAATGATTCAAGATGAATCATCAACTGCACCCATGCACTGGTGAAGAATGACAATGTTAATGCTCTAAAGATTGTTCAAGAGAAGATTTTCCAGACTTATTCACTAAAACACATCCGATTACTGTTTTCAATAAGCTAATTCGTGATATTGGATTTAAGCATCTCAAAGATCTCAAGTGATATTCTCCTGAGAGGGAGTAATTGCACATTGCACTATTTTTCCTTAACCAGGGTTTTTCCCATTGGGGTTTTCTGGTAAATGTTTTATTAACGAGGCATCATTCTATACACTCATAAGATATTTTAGATAATGGACATCCAAAATGAAGTGTTATAGCCTTATAGGTAAATATGTGGATGTCCTTTACGTCAATTTCTCCATTTATATCTTCTCTCTTAAAACCCTATATCTTTATATTATTAATTGAGAAGTACATTCTAATGTTTGGATACAAGAATTAGAGAAACATCTATTTGGATAGAAGAATAAATGGAAACAAAAGTTGTTTGGATATAAGAATAAGAGAAAAATTTTTGGATATAAGAATAAGAGATAGGAAAAGAATAAATGGAAAAAATTGTTTGGATACAAGAATAATAACTTAAAATAAACCGATGGTTTAGAAAACTTCCGTTTTCCATCTCTTAAAAATCTGCAAAAAAAAAACTTAACATAATCTAACGATAATTCCAAATCAATAGAATATGCTTTTTGGATTTTCGGGTTTTTATAGACAAGTTCGGGTTTGGGTGAAAATCTGAGACATAATTTTATAGAGATATAGAATATTGTTCGGGTTTCTTTGAAAATTTCTGTTCGGGTTAGGTTCAATTTTTTTTTTCAGTTTAGGGTTTTCCGGATTTTTTAGATTTCTGGTTTTCGGGTTTAGATATATTAAAAAAATTGAGTATTTTAAAATTTTGATTAGGTATTGGGGTCGGGTTCCGGGTGAAAAAGTTTCCAGATTTTTTTTGTTCAGTCAGGGTTTTCGGGATTTTTTTGATTTCGGATTTTCATGTTTAGACCTATTAAAAAAGTTTGGGTTTTTAAATTTTTTGATTAGGGTTTTTTGTCGGGTTCGGATTTAGGGTTTAAATTTTCTACACAAAACAACAACGTCACACCGCACAAACGTGCGGGTACTCTACTAGTTGTACTCTTATATATAGGATCTATCACTCATGGAATAAGACAATATCATTACCTCTTTTCACATAACAAAAAAAAGAAGTTATTGGAAAGAAAAAAATGTTGTCCACATTGTGACTCATGTTGCTAAAAAGAATGAATATATATTGTGTAAGGGCTTTGTGCAAAAAAAGCTTCAAACTAAATTATTTTTGCAAGAAAAACTCTCACATAAAAAAAGTGCAAGTCAATCCAACCACCTCAAAACTCACTCGAAAATAACTGTTGCCTATATCGATATGTGACATTGCCAAATATCTTTAAAAAAAAAGATTTTGTGTAAAAAAAACCTCAAACTAAATTATTTTGCAAAAACGCCCTCATATCAAAACACTGCATTTTTTATGTTGAGAAAATCGTATTGTTTTCAAGATTATGTACTATTTTAAAAATTCTAAATTATTTTTGCAAAAAAGCCCTAATAACTATGTACTGTTTTCAAGATTTTAATTTAATTTTGAAGTAGATCCATAAAGTAACCAAACTCAAAAGAAAATTCATTATTTATGGTCCAAGACCATATATTTTGATGAATGCAACTTAGAAAAAATTGTTGATTAAATAGATAAAGTGAAAAGATCATAACTATATTTAGGCCGGGGAGTTTTTCCCCGAAACCTGAATCCAAACCCTACCCAAAAAAAACCTGAATAGAACTCGAACTGAAAATTAAAAAAAATCCGAACGGTGTTTAAATCTTAAACCCGAAAAAACTTAACAAAACCCGAAAAGCACCGAAAAACCCGAAAAACATGAACTGAATTCGAAACGAGACTTAAAAAAACTGTTTGATCCCGACGCAGATAGAGTACTCTTATTCTTAGTTTTTTTTTCGGTAAAATTCATTCCAAACTATTTCGTTTTGGAGAAATTGGTTAAATTTGGATTCACACGAACTTGTTCAAACAGATTTTACTACGATGACTTCTGAGATATGGTGATTGGCTTATATTTGTTTGACGTGAGGGTTATTATTGCAAAATAATTTCGTTTGAGGTTTTTTTTGCACAAAATCATTTTTTTAAGACATTTGGTAATGTCACAGTCATCGATATATTGTGGGTGAGTTTTGAGGTGGGTGGATTGACTTGCATTTTTTTGTTTATAATTTGAGTCGCATGGAGTATTTGTTTTACAAATTCCAAAAGACTTGAAACGAGCTCAGCTTAATTGATACTCCCTCTGTTTTATAATACAGGGGGTTTAAGGTTTTTGCATATAGATTAAGAAGCTATTTAATTCTTGTATTTTTTGAAATAAAATATATTTTATCATCAATTCCAAAACATTTCAACCAATAACAAAATAATCTAAAGAATATAAATAATAAAAAGTAGTCAAAACACATTAAACTCTAAAACTCCTTATATTATGAAAAAAAAAAACTCCAAAACCTCTTATATTATGAAAGAGAGGGAGTATATGTTAGTAGAAGTTATTTATATTACATGGACATGCCACCAAAACCAAGGGAATCAACAACATATACATAGTTTCATAGTTGTTAAAAATGTACTTTGAGCACCAAATTACAAATCGTTTCCTTAGGTAGATCACTAAAATCTTAAATGACTGGTATAATGATAATGATATATCTGCATGTAACGTGTACATATGTAGAGATATATACATGATTGGAGCGAAAGTATCTTCACCAGATTTGAACATTCCCAGCCATCCCAAGCGTGAACGCAATCAAATAGACAACAGACTGCAAGATTTCAAACAGCAAAATGAGATATACCATGGGGACTGGTGAATATAGATGATTGACTAGTTGTTGCTCAGAAGATAAAGATACTCACGGCGATAGCACAGGCAACGTAACCTGCCTTCTCGCGGTTATCAACAGATGTGCATACAACGATAATAGCACCGAGGTACCAGGGGATTCCACCAAACAAGAAGCCTATGATAAACCTGAGACCAAAAGACAAAACCTTTGAATTAGCAACAAAAACAAGAACAGGATTCAAGTCACAACATGTATGCTTTAATTACTCACAAGAACCAGCCCATGCCAAAGCCACAGCAAGGAAGCTCATGCTCTCTCATCGGTCTCACTTCAATCACTGTATATTCTAAAACAACAAAACCCTGAATCAATACCGTAACGTTGAACAATATATCACAGAAACAGAACAAAAACACAAATTGAATCCTCATTATTTATCTGGGAAATGAATAATTAAAATTGAGAATAAGATATTAAAGTACCGGGAACAACTGGGAATCCTTGAACATAATTCACAAAACCACCACCACCACCAGGACCTAACAATCTCAAACACGAAACAATCACAAAACAGAATATGTAGCAATTATCCAAATTTAGAGATTAGGAAAGAGAGAGAGAGATATTAAAACCTTGAAAATTCTGATAAACATGTCCAGGAAACAAGGGGTTCGCAGCAATCGGATGATGCGGCAGAGGTAGCAATTGCGGTGGCGGAGCGGGAGGGTGATAATTGGCTACGCCTTGAAACGTTCCGTAATAATATTGATGCTGATTTGAGGTCGAGTCTCTAGGTTTGGCTGCTTCCTCGTCCATAATCGAGATCCAATGAAATCTAGATTTCGACGCAGAGATCTGTGAATTTGTATAATTTATCCGCCGCGTTTACCGATGGCTAACGGCGGCTTTTTCGGCGGTTTAGAGACGAGACGAGACGCGTTTATGGAGAGATCGACAAGACAAGGCCCGCGTAGAAGTGGGATAACTATATGAACCGAATTAAACCAAACTAAATTCACCAATCCGAATCTAGACCGAATTATATATTAGCTCGAATAGATTTCTATTTCTAATTATACAAATTAAGTGGTACTTTGTGCTTCCGGTCTATGATAATGACACGGTTTCTGGAAAATCAATGGAGAGAAGCGGGGAAGAGAAGGATTAGGTGAAGCTAGTCTTGCATTACCCATTTTACAATACTAATTTAATCCAACAAAAATGATTGTCTTGTATATTCCCCTTCACAACTTGTGTTTTTGATGCAAATGTGAAGATTTATACCAACTTATCTGAGTTTGCAAAGAAATAGAAAATGTTGCAACTTATTACAGCGGAAGGATAAAAAAAACAACAAAGAGACGGAGCTCCAACAAAACTATCCAGAACAGGACACTACCTAAGACACTTACCTACTAGAGAAAATGTCTAACGAGTCTGTCTCTAGTAGGTAGTGTCTTAGGACAAACCAGCCAAGCTATGAATGAGCAGCGAGGGATAGACTCCTTAAACCGGATCACTTTATGCCACGACACAGGAGGATATGATTCTCTTAGGTGACACCATGTGGATTTAGAGGAGAAACTGCTCCTCAAAGAAGTCTGTTCGTCAAACCTCCACAACTTGTTACCAAGGTCAATCTGATTCTCTGCTTGAAACTGATACCTCAACTTTCTAGGCGTGCCGACATTAATTCCTTTAGCTTCTTCTCCTTGCTGATAACTGAACTTGAATGCCCATTTCTTAAAATCATCTGATTCCACTCCCTTCCAATGCTCTGAACAACCAGCTTAACTCATCCATGGTGTAACAGAAATGGATAAATCAATTCTTCTCAAAGAGCTTTTAACCAAAAAAACATGACAATCATTCCCTTTCACAAAAATCCTTCTACATATCTACCAAAACTCGAAGAATCCCTTCCAAGAGCCTACCAACATTTTGAAGGTCACCACTTATATACTTTTCAGTTTTCACCATGACCCAGCCATTAACATGAGGACGCAACTTTAGTTTTTCCAAACTAGTTCATACCATCTAACGAACACAATATTCTATAGCTCAACCTGTAATGTTTTAGCAAATTGCAACTATTCATCAATAAGAGAAACTTAAAAAGCCTAATCGATCACACAAACAGCAAAAATCTGGAGCTTAAATGAACTTGCAATAAGGACATTCATTGATAAATGCGACAGAGTCAGGCCTAGAACAAGATGTTACAGTATAACATAGAAGAACGAAATCTTTTTGGTGCGAAAATCAAAAGAGAAGCAGGGAAAAACCACAAAAAAAGAATTTGCGAAAAAAACTTATAAAGAATAAAGATGACTGAATCAGAAAGAAGCTTTGTAAAGTTGTTAAGAGAATAGTACGTATATTCCGATAACAACGGTTACAATGATGATCGGGATGGTATCTCTCCACCACCGAGCACCGTCTCACTTGATCTGAGAATAGTTTCTCCGATCACTCTCTCTCTCTCAAAGTTTGTTACAAATATCTGGATAATGTTGTAAAGCGTAAATGCACAAGTATTTAAATGAGATTCCCTTTTACTCTAACCCTCCGGCTCCGTTAGAGTCTCTTCCTTGTTTGCAACTTCTAAACCGATCTTCCTTCTTCTTCTCACGAACCGGTTAAGTGGCCTAACAATACCCCCCTCGTCAAGACGAAGCTTGTCCTCAAGTTCGGGAATTCCTGGATCAAGTCCGAAGCACGAACCCACGTCTTCTCATGTTCCGGAAGATCTTTCCAACTGACCAATGCCTCCAAATGGCCACCATTATCATAACGAGTCTCGAGTATTGATTCCGGTTCAATGATGAGCTCAGGTCTCTGATCAAATGAAGCAGGAAGAACAGAAACCTGATGACTCGATCCCAAAACTGGTTTCAACTGAGAAACATGAAACACGTTATGAATCTTAGACCCCTCAGGCAACTTCAAACGATACGCCACACTCCCAATCCTTTCCATTACTTCAAATGGGCCATAGAAACGAGCTGCTAACTTCTGATACAAGCGTTTTGAAACCAATTGTTGTCGATATGGTCTCAGTTTCAAAAACACTTTATCACACGCCGCAAACACTAACTCACGTCTATGCTTATCAGCATTGTTCTTCATCCGTGCCTGCGCTTTCACCAAATGACTCTTTAAGTCCTGCAACACCTCATCACGTTCTTTTAACATCACTTCCACATCATAGTTTGCCGTAGACTTCTCCTCAAAACGCAACAAACTTGGCACAGTTCTTCCATAGACCACTTGAAAAGGAGTTGTACCAATTGCTGTGTGAAAGTTCGTGTTGTAAGACAACTCAGCCCACGCAAGAAACTTCCCCCAAGACTTCGGATGTGAAGAAGCAAAGCAACGGAGGTAGGTTTCAAGGCAACGATTCAAAACTTCCGTCTGGCCGTCAGACTGTGGATGGAAAGCTGTACTGAACTTCAACGATGTACCCGCCTGGCGAAAGAGTTCGCGCCAAAAAGAACTCAAGAAAATCCGATCGCGGTCTGAGACAATTGATCGAGAAAATCCATGAAGTCTCACCACCTCTTGAATGAACTTAATAGCCACATCAGTCACCGTGAATGGATGTTTAAGCCTCAAGAAGTGTGCGTATTTGCTCAGTCTATCAATCACAACCAAAATCACATTCACTCCCTGTGACATTGGAAGTCCTTCAATGAAATCCATGGAGATATCTTCCCAAATCTGATTAGGGATGGGTAATGGTTGGAGCAAACCCGCGGGTTTCAGTGTTGAGTACTTATGCCTCTGACACACATCACACTCTTTCACGTACTTCTGTATATCCTTCACCATCTTCCTCCAGTAGAACGTGTTCTGTATCCGCTTCATTGTTTTAAGAACTCCTGAGTGTCTACCTATGACTCCCGCGTGAAACTCTTGAAGTATAAGCGGAATGTGAGAAGAATTTCGCGGAATCACCAATCTTCCATTCTTCCTCAGTCTTCCTTCCACTACTGTATATTCCTTCTTCTCTTCTGTCCCATCCAACACACGATTCACCTGTTCCTATATCTGTCTATCCTCCGCAATTTCTTTATAAATGTCTTGGAGTTGTAGAGTTGCAGGAATCGTGATTGCGAACAATTGAGCAGATGTGAAACCTTCTTGTTCTCGAACTATGCGAGATAACCCATCTGCTGCTTTGTTTTCTACTCCCGGTTTGTAAATGATGTCAAATTCAAACCCAAGTAACTTGATAAGCCACTTCTGATAATCCATTGAGACCTCTCTCTGCTCCAATAGAAACTTCAAACTCTTTTGATCTGTATGCACTACAAATCTTCTGCCTAAGAGATATTGTCTCCATTTTTGGATTGCCAACACTATAGCCATCAGCTCCCTTTCGTAGATTGGCTTGATCTGCTCCCTCTTAGTCAATCCCGAACTGAAATAAGCTATAGGTCGTTGTTGTTGCATCAGAACTGCACCAATCCCATAACCCGATGCATCTGACTCCACCACAAATACTTCCGAAAAATTTGGCAAAGCCAACACCGGAGCCGTCATCATAGCATTCTTGAGCTCCAGAAAGGCTTTCTCTGATCGTTCTGACTAAACTGATCCTTCTTCAGGAGATCTGTTAATGGCCTCGCAATGGTACCGTACCCTCTCACAAATCTCCTGTAATAACTTGTGAGTCCCAAAAAACCTCTTAGTTCTTACACGTTCTTTGGTGATGGCCAACCTTTCATCGCTTCAGTTTTTGATGGGTCTGTAGCCACTCCTTGATCGGATATGATGTGACCCAAGTACTCCACTTGATTCTGGCCAAAAAGACACTTTTTATTGTTCGCAAACAATGCATTCTCCACAAAGATGTCCATCACTATCCTCAACTGTTCTTCGTGTTTCTCTTGTGTCGGACTAAACACCAAAATGTCGTCAAAAAACACCAGTACAAAGTGTCCCAAGAACGGTCTGAATAGCTCGTTCATAAGTGCCTGGAAAGTAGCTGGTGCATTAGTTAGGCCAAAAGGCATAACCAAGAATTCATAATGCCCATTAGTAGTCGGGAACGCTGTTTTCTCCACGTCTTTCTCGAGCATTCGGATTTGGTGATAGCCTGCTCTCAAATCTAGCTTCGAGAAATATTTCGCACCATGAAGTTCATCGAGCAGCTGGTCTATCACCGGAATCGGAAATTTGTCCGCCACAGTCACCTTATTCAATACCCTATAGTCAATACAAAAACGCCAACTTCCATCCTTCTTCTTGACTAGTAAGACGGGGCTTGAAAATGG